GGCCTCCTTTTAATAGAGAACCGGAACAAAGCATTAGCACATAGTGAATACATGAACTCCTCAAACTAAGGTCATCACCGGGAGTGGTCCCGATTATTGTCACTTCGGGGTTGCCGGATCATAACACATAGTAGGTGACTATAGACTTGCAAGATGGGATCAAGAACTCACATATATTCATGAAAACATAATAGGTTCAGATCTGAAATCATAGCACTCGGGCCCTAGTGACAAGCATTAAGCATAGCAAATTCATAGCAACATCAATCTCAGAACATAGTGGATACTAGGGATCAAACCCTAACAAAACTAACTTGATTACATGATAAATCTCATCCAACCCATCACCGTCCAGCAAGCCTACGATGGAATTACTCATGCACGGCGGTGAGCATCATGAAATTGGTGATGGAGGATGGTTGATGATGACGACGGCGACGAACCCCTCTCTCCGGAGTCCCGAACGGACTCCAGATCAGCCCTCCCGAGAGGTTTTAGGGCTTGGCGGCGTATCGTAAAACGCGATAATTTCTTCTCTCTGATTTTTTCTCTCCGAAAGCAAATATATAGAGTTGGAGTTAGCGCCAGAGGGCATCCAGGGGGCCCACGAGGTAGGGCTAGGGCACGCCCCCCACCCTCGTGAATAGGGTGTGGGCCCCCTGATCTTCATCTTTGGTGAGGATTTATTATTATTTTTTCTAAGATGTTCCGCGGAGTTTCAGGTCATTCCAAGAATATGGCAATTCTGCTGAAAACAGCGTCAGTCCGGGTTAGTTCCATTGAAATCATACAAGTTAGAGTCCAAAACAAGGGCAAAAGTGTTTGGAAAAGTAGATACGACGGAGACGTATCAGACGGTTTGTACCAACTTTTGTGATCTCGAAGTTCACACTAATTAGACATATATGTCTGAACTACTCAATGTGAACCGCTCTTCCTTCTTTGGTAACAACGTAATTGTTCCAAAGTTCAATTTAAAAAGCTATAAGTGACCATTAAACAAATCATGAAACATAGGCATCAAGTCGCCTTTAATAATATCCCAACACCTCAAGCACTTCCATCTATGAAAAAGGGGCAGTAAGAACCTCATTCTCATCTTTGCCCAGTTGTAGTATATCCTCAACCAAACTCTCGTTTAGTGAGACATAATTGTCTACTCGGGCCCAAACAACTTTTTATGAAAGTTAGTATCTTAAGATTATCATGCCAACAATTGTATCTTCATGCTGTTCAAGTTGTATGATCCTCTTTTTCCTATGTTTTCCATTGGCAATCTTATGAAAAAATTGTGTATTATTATCTCAAGGAACCAGGCGACACACTTTAGCTTTAAGCGCCCATTTGATATCTTCTTCCTGAGAAGCTTCGCCAAACTGACCTTAGCCTCTCTTTTAGCCACCTGCTCATTTAATGTCGAGTGAGTTATTCTTGGCTTTTATATCGAGATCGTTAATGATGTTAAGCAACCTCTTTTTCTGCTGCTTATATATACCACTATTATTCTTAGCCCAACCCCTAAAAAACTGTCGCAAGTGTCTAATCTTAATTTGCCAGTTTTCGACATTCGACGCACCCCCTTGCTCTAAGGCCCATTCCCTTGCAATTAGCTCAAGGAAGTCCTCTCTTGAACCACACAGTTTCGAACAAGAAGATATTTTTGTTTCCATGATGCACCGCATCACCGGAATCAACAAGAAGGGGTGTGTTGTCAGATATTCCTCTTTGTAACACACGCACTGTCAGTAGAGGAAATTTTTGTTCCCATTCGATACTCGTCAAAACTTTGTCTAACTTCTCATATGTTGGATTCTGTAACTTGTTTGCCCAAGTGTATTGCCTACCCATGAGGTCAATCTCTCTCAGATATAGGCTTTCTATGATAGCATTAAACGTGAATGACCATCGGGCATCGAAGTTGTCATTATTCTTTTCTTCTCCCCTCCTAATAATGTTACATGTTTATTTCATATTTGTGTTGCTGCTTATTATCAGTCTGGACGATACCGATAGCTATATTTACTAAGTGTGCACCCTTTTATTGTCATACCAAAGCCAATTTATAGTTCTCTTGATTACCGACAAATAGATGTCTATGTTTGGACAAAATTGAATATTTTTCATGTATTTATATATTTACTGTATAATAGACTGGCACGGCGACGCACGCCATCAATGATCTAATCTTCATCTACAAGCACCCATACGCACTTCGCCATGGTGCAGTCCACGAGCGAATTCCCCAATAAGTCGGGTTGCCTCCAAAGTATTGCCACATATTCGCCCAATTCCTCCCTTGCTTCCTAGTATCCGAGCTTGGTTTCGGTACTCCCGGGCATATTGTACGCTGAATGAATGCTGAACGTGCCTTTCTTGTCGAAAAAGCATGCCCAAAAATCACCTTTTCTCCATTGGGACGGGCTCTTGATCACCTCGACTTCCATTGGGATAAACTCTTCTTGCAGCCTCTGGACGTTCCACGAGGCGGAGTTACCGTCCATGAAATCACTAACCCTATCGTTCTCCACACTTTGAATCTGAAGAGGCCATCAACCAGCTCTCTCACTTCAGGCGGACGAAAAAAGTCATGCTATGATCTCATCCGGCAAGGCCACGAACCGCGTTCGCTTCTGAAACACCACAAACGAAATCACAGGAGAAGATGTCAGCAAAAGCGACGGACAATTCATTTCAAGCCAAACGCTAATCTGTTTGCGCATTACGCGAAAATGATAGGCAAAGATTTGAACAGAAAGTGCAGGGAACCGAGATCGCGTGACGAAGCCAATATTAATTTAGCGTACTTATTTGTGACAAAAAAATCAAAGGAAATCCTGATGAAAGGCTCTGCTGATGTATTATCCCTTAACTTCGAGCGAGAAAAATTGGCACATATTGAAAACTATTGCTGATGTTGTCATGGTGATAAAGTTAACTTCAAATCTTCAATTAGATAGTTACCCTAGAGAAAACTTCGGTGAGATAGTTATCATATCGTCATGGTGATAAGGTTAACTTCAATGAGATGGCACCCCGGAAAAAGCTCAGTGAGATGGTATCATATCATCATCTAACGGCTGCCCGCTGCTGCCTAAGCTAGTTTGATGGTCTGGATTGCCGGTTTGACGTTGAGGTGCTCAACAATAAGTCAAACAAGTACTCCCTCTGTAAACTAATATAAGAGCGTTTAGATCACTACTTTAGTATTCTAAACGCTCTTATATTAGTTTACGGAGGGAGTAAGTTGCAACATTAGTGACGGTGACCCGGAAGAATCGGCCGGAGCTACACTAATAGTGGGCATAAAGCGGATCAAGCAACTTGGCTCGTTATGATCCCTGAAAATTTCTCGATCTAGACACTTGGTCAGACATGTGACGCTCAGCTTGTTTCTTCTGCTACCATAAAATTCAGGTAGGCCTAATGTTTTGAAACGGCAATTTAAGATCACCCTTGGTACACATAGACTTTCCACAACTCTGCTGTAGATCAGCTCCACTAGAGTAGTTATTATAAATGTGGAAGGAGCATCACAATTGCTGCTAAAATATCTGTTGACAACGTTTAAGATTCAGAGAACTTGCTCTGAAACTTCAGCATGTGAAGCATTTTCCATGGTAGATCTATGACTGCTACTGCTGTGATTCATCCGCAGCCAGAAAGTGAGAATGGTCTCATGCCGCCAGATATTCAAGTAGGAGTATGACAAGCAACTGTATTTTGTATCATCAATCCACCATTCAAATCCTAGAATTGATCGCCAACAAATAACTAACGTAGTACTCCCTCCGCTTCTTCTTAATCCGCATATAAGATTTGGTCAAAGTCAGGTTTTATTGAGTTTTACTTCCTCCGTCACAGTTTAGAAGGCACAGTTAAATTTGCGTGCGTTTCCACAATAGATAAGGTTTAGGGCGCATTGCATTTATGTCTAGTAGCTAATTAGTACTCCTATATACTATTTCTATATGCATGCATAGTGTGAATGCTATTTTTTAACCCATCTCACAACCAATAGATAACCACCTAGGTCCCAGAGAATTTCCAAGCGCGCCTTCTAAACCGTGACGAAGGGAGTACTAACTTTATATATAAAAATATAAACATTCACAATATGAAATCAATATTATCAGATGCACCATCAGACGTATTTTCATACTATATAGTTTTTGTATTGTAGACGTTCATATTTTTTTTTATATTTAGTCAAAATTTGTGTAGTTTGATTTTGACTAAATCTTATATACGAAGTAAAAAGAAACAGAGGGAGTAACGTGTCAGAAAAAACCTCAAACACTCTTCTACTCAATACTACTTAAGACACATCTGCATCAGCCGAAAATACTGGTCACACCGTCAACAGCTCCAGATGGTGCCTCATTGGACACGTACGGATCCGATGGTGTGCCAATATTTCTTATTCCCTCCATTCTATAATATAAAAACATTTTTTGCATTGGTGTAGCGTCAAAAACGTTCTTATATTATAGGACGGAGAGAATAGTTTTTTCAGTTTTGACAGTCCATAGAGATAAACTCATGGCTTGTTTACATATTCCTACATGGACAGAGTGAAACAGAGAAAAATATTTTGCACACCATGTTTTAATTAGATTATAATGGTATGAATTAGTGTAAGATAAATTTCATAAGAAATTTTATTGGGCAAACTGTGTGAATTAAACCAGAGATCCATACAGCATACTAAAGGCATGTCCAGCAGAGTATTGAAAAATAATACTTCTTTGTATCAAAATATAAGATGTTTTTGCAGAACAACAAAAACATCTTATTGTTAATTTATTAAAAACTGTGTTGGTCAAAATAAATAGTTGTAATACATACTTTTGGGTGAAAGTTTCCGTATTATTTTTTCAACCGGGCAATGAGATACCACCGTTGCTTGAAAGAAAAAACTTAGTTTCCCTTCCCGCAGAACTTTTTATTTAAATGCAGATGAATGAAAAGCAATGCAAAAGGACCAATAGCAGTGATTATTTTTAGATTGGAATCAAGTTATTTGATGCAGACCTTAATAGCATGGCTCTATCAAGATAATAAATACATAAATATATTTTGAATAAAAAACTTTGAAAGAAGCAGTGCATTACCTCCTTGCGGCTGGCCTTGACGTCCGCTGATGCATACTCCGGCGTGCGGGGTAGAGCGGACCACCTATCCGGCGTCTTCGCCGTCTCTGCACCCCTCTCCGGCGTCGGCATCATGAACCTCGCACCCCACTCGGGCGTTACGGCGAATCTGGGACTCCTCTCTGGCTTCTCCGCGAACCTGCCGGCGCCCCAGTCCGGCGTAGGCACGAACCGAGGGCTCCGCTCTGGCGTCTGCGCGAGCCCTCCAGTGCCCCAGTCCGCCGTCGCCCATAACCGCGGGCTCCGCTCCGGCGTCAATGCGCCGTTCCCACCGTTGGCGGCGCAGAGCTGCATGATCTTAGCGGCCGCCTCGGCGGCGTCCCGGCTCTCGCCCATGAGCTTGGCGAGCTGCGCCTTGGGCAGGCGCATCCTGAGCTGGACCGGCCCGCCCTCGGAGGCGGTGGACATCGGGGAGGCCGGCGCGGTCGGGAAGGAGAGGTCGGAGGTGGAGCGGCGCGTGAGCATGAGCGACTCGAGCCTCTCGCGCGCGCCGACGTGGAGCGCGCCGGACCAGGCGCGGCGCGGGGGCACGGTGGGGCGCGGCAGCGCGACGAGGAAGTAGAGCCGGCCCGGGCGGAGCAGCGCGTCGTGGTCGAGCGGGCGCGCGCGGACGCCGAGCTTGACCTGCTCCGACTCGAGCAGCTGGAAGCCCGGGTGGTCGCGCAGCACGGCGCCCGCGTGCGCCGGCGGCTTCACCCGGAACGCGGTGCCGTCCAGCTGCATCACCTTGGCGCCCTTGCGCCGCCCGCCGATGCTGTTGCCCATTGCCCGCCGGCTGCTGCTGCTCCTTGCTCCCACGCTACGCTCTCCTCTTCCCTTTGATGGTGTGAGGTGAGGCGGGGCGTGGGTTCGGTTCGCGGGGTTCTTCGCGGCGTTTGTGCTTGGTGGGGTGCCGGGATTTAAAACGGGCGAGAGAAAAGGGTACTACTGTATACAGGGTAGGGGAAGAGTTGGGAGTCAAAGGTTGTGGGGAGTTCACGCGAGTAGTGCTGTTGAGCTTGACGTGGACTGGAACTATATTATTTTCCTTGCTTGGGCGTCTACAAAGCTTCGCTAGCCGCCCACTATGGCTTAGCACTCTGAAAGTGGAAATGGAAGAGAGGAGGTTAAAGTGGGTTCTAGTGCATGCATGTCTAATTAACAATGAGCGAAGGATGAAAACACGTTTTGACCGTCCAATTAAGCTCGCAGTTCCAGAATCAGAGCAAGAACTTTACTTCGAGCGAAGCAAAACTTTGTAACTGCTATCTTTTACTACTGGTCTGAACGCCTTGGTTATTTTAGGGCTGCAAAGGGTAGGTTTGCTTCGTCTGTGCAGAACTGAAGAAGCATGCTGCATGCGTAAAACTTAAATTAGCCAGGTACGTACTTTGTGTGCAAAACTGACTTGGTACCTAATTTGGTGGGAGGAAATTAGCCAGAGACTTTAATTACCACGAGCGGCGTTTGTGGCACAGCTTGGAAAAAAATTATATGAGACCAGGTCAGCTTCTCCTCTCTCAGGCTGGTTGTAGCGGAAGTATCATAAGTAGTATCATGCATGCCAACTAGATGTTTTGGATGATGTGGCACACAATTAAATGAGGAAAGAGAGGATGTAGTATCATATCATGATACCATATCATATTAAATGCTCCGCTAGTTTGTGTCATGCATGGCAATTAATAAGGCAATCTAAGATACTAACTTATGATACTATGCATTACGGAGTTAGCATCACACATTAGTATTATATGCATGATGCTAGTATATGATACTCCCCATTACATGTGCTGTTCGCGTTCATTTTAAACCCCTAGACGTAATGTCGAAAAAGAAAAGGGAAAACTAGACGTTGAACTTGCACCAATAACCAATAACCTCCGTTAGTATTAAGTGGGTTCGTACGTGTCCTGGTCTCATTGTTCTCGAAGCCATAGCTAGTTAATGGCGGTCCAGCAACAACACGCGTGCCGTACCGCCGGAGTCGCCACGGCGGCCGCCCGCATGGTGCGTCCTTCACGGCACAGATCGGTGCAATCAAGGTCTTCCTTTTTGCATGCGCCCGTCACGGCACGGGATCGGATCGAGGAATGTCCTGCGGCGAGGTCAACCGCGCGCATGCATCGTATTAATGCGGCTATAGCTTAGCCGGCGCTCTGCCAGTCCGTTTCGCGGGATCGGGTGCCGGGAGGAGTCCGGCGATCCACGGCATCCGTCTTGTCGTATGTCGAACTGTAGGCGGAGAGCAAGCATGTCCTGCCTCTGTGCACGTTTGAACCGCCCGTGCTTCCGTCGTGAGTTTCCGGTCGATCGTTTCCTCATACTGTTAGATGTTCGATGTTCTATAAGCGCGTAATTGGTCGATTATCTATATTAAAGATGAACAGTTAGATTACATGGTTACACGTTAATCGCCTCCCAATTTGCGTACTAAAACACTGTATATTGTAAAGGGCTACGGCGACCAACACAAATTACGGTACCGTGAATTGAACTCACACTGTATGCTTCTACCCAGCCATACTGTACACTAACTCTGGAGCGGTTTAATTAGGCAGCAACGGAGAACGAGTCTTTGTCTTGCCACCAAATGTGCCACGACCGTCCGAGACTCATGACCTACCAATCCATATACGTAGACCACGTGTTTAGTTTTCCTCTCTCGACCTTCCCAGGATCCTGACCTGGTATCCCACATACATATGCCCGATCGTCACGACGCACCTTCTTTCCCACTTTCCGGCAGGAGCTAGCAAAGCAGAACATGGCTGATACGTATATACAGTATGATAGTAGATGCATGCATGCTGCTCTTTCTGCTGCGGTCGTTGGGCTTATCTGCATATGCTTCCTTTCTCAGCAGGGAATCTGCAACGGCATCCATCCTATTGTAATGTAAAAGGCTAAAAGCCATGTATTGGTTTTGGCTATCCATCTCGTCGTTTTCGCCGGTTGCACTTGCACACACGTCTCCCCGGCCCGAGAGCGCTCGTATCTCCAGCCGTTGGCCTTCAGAGGGTTTGAAAAATCGCCGTTTGGGACGGTCTGGTGGTAAAATCGATTTGAGGCCGATTAGGCAGCCGCCGGCCCCAGGGTCGTCTTCAAAATGTTTTACAAAAAAAACAAGAATTCGACTATAGTTTGGCAAACGGGCATAAACTTCAGCGACTCATGCAGTCTTTTACATAGCAAACTTAAATTACTTAAAAAAAAGGCCGCGACTACAGGAAGAACTCTCTGAACTCGGCGAAGTCGCCGCTGTCCCGTCGTCCTTCTCCTCCTTCACGCGTCCGCCCCTACTGGACCCTTGCCCGGAGTCGCCCTGACGGACCAGTGGCGGGGCATCGTCATTGTCGTAGAGGACGACGACGCCTCCCTCGTCGCGGACACGGCGCCGAGTGACGATCTCCTCTAGGGCGCGGCGCGACGCTCCAACTCCAGCCGCGCCCAGTCCTCCCGCGCCCACTCCATGGCCGCCGCGTCGTCGAGCTCCGTCTTCACGGCAGCGAGCCCCGACTCCATTTTCGACTTGACGAGGTGGGGAGGAGGCGCGCCCACCCTCTTTGATGACGATGCCGGCACTGCGGGTGCACCGGCCGAGCGACGTCTCCTTGAGCTCGGCCTTGATGCTGTAGAGCGCCGGCGACCCGGAGGAGTGGGGGGAGGAGGAAGAGGAGCTGGTCCTCCTCGGCATCCATTGGTCGTCGCTCCGGCGGGGGGCTGCGACGGCAGGGTACGTGAACGGCGGCTCGTTGCCGCCCTCGAGGTGCTCGAGGACGGCGTGGAGCGTGCGGCCGGGGGCGCCCCACCACAGGCGGCGTCCGTCACTGTTCTTAGTCCCCCGCACCACTGGTGCGTTGTTGGTGGAGGCCAGCCGCTTCGCCTGCCGGCGTTCAAAGTAGGCCGCCCACGTGTAACGTCCGGATAATTAAGCTGCAGTAATCCTCTTGTAACGAGGCCACGTCACCATTTTTACTGTTGCTAATCTCGTTAGATTCAAAACGGTTCAAATTCAAATTTAAAATTTAAGTCAAAAATAAAATTTTTGAAAATGTCAAAACTAAAATGTGCAAGCTATGGCAAGTAATTCATAAGTATTATTGGTGGTGAAACCAAACTTTTATAAAAGTTTTGATGCATTGAAATGATTAGAACAGTGGCAATATTAATTAATAAAATGCCTTTTATAATTTCTAAAATAGCAAACTACTTTAAATAAAATCGAATCTTTTTTGGCAATGTAAATAATTGAATCTCTAATCGTGGGCCAAGTCACATGTTATGTTAATGGTCATTTGCTAATGGAAAAGAAATTTAAAACAAAAACTATAAAAGAAAAATTATGAAACAAAAGGAAAAGAAGGAGGGCCTAAGCTACTGGGCTTGTTAGACACCTAACTAAAGTAGGCCCACATAA